GGGGGGGAGTGAGAAGGAAAAGCATTAGCTCAGCTGAGACGCAAGGACAGGGCTTTACATCAACAAATAGATAAAAATATCAAGCGTTTGGGGTCGACAGGCACTTTTGTCGAGCGGTCGGTTGGATTTGTTTGCAGATTTATTGTCCGGATGTGTGAACAGTTTCGATTTGTGCTCTTCAAGGATTTATTCTATAGAGTTTTTTTAAAAAAAAAATCCTCTCTGATTAAAACTATATTGTATCTCTTTTCACAGTAAGCATTATATCCATTTGAACAGAAGCAGGAACCTGAGGCACCTATGCTGAAGTGCACTTAATTTAGATGTGTCGATTTGTCAAACCTTCTTTCTCGTAATATGGCTCTGAATGAATCCTTTGCAACATAATGGGTCACAGGGATTAGACAGCCCTCTTGTATCACACCAATTAACTCCTCTTTTCTATTAAAATCAAAAAAACAATGTAGAGCCCTGTAGTACAGAGTTTTGTCTGGTACCACACACCTAACAACAGAAAAACAGTTAAAAAGCTCTCAAGCATTTTCAGCTGCAAAGCCATGCGATTCTATTGACCCTATAGTATTGGTGTGCTAGCGTCACAGCTTTAAAATTAACCTGAAATAAACAGCTGTGGTCACAAGTGCTCCTTTTCCGCCCAAACAACTTCATTGACCCACTTATGATTTTTTTTTTGTATTTCTGTGTAAAATCATATTATGCTCCCCTAGCAAAAAAGCAGAGGGAGCTTGCATATTCTAGTTCCTTTTTCTGGTTGTAAACATTAGAAAGTGGGCTGCCGGGCACGGTTCGGTCCTGGGGGGACCAGGACGGAGAGGCAGAGGAAAGAAGGGGCCGTTTTATTTATTCGGAAAGGAGCACCAATGCCGACAGACAAGCCAAAGAACAGAGGATGTCAAGTTTAGTTGTTAGAGCATCAGAGTGACATCATCTTTACACGTCTCCACCTCAGCAATGTGTTAATGTGACCAGGCAAGCCACTCCGGGGGGCCAGAACAAACAAGCACAGAAGCTGCCAGCTTTTACATCATACGTACAGCACTATGACAGCGGAAAGAATAGACAACCCATAATATCCACAAACCCCCAATATAACCAGGGCCTTATAACCCACATGCCATATATGTCTACTACAGTCCAAACGTCTAGTGCACACTGTACATACACTGCATTCCCCTAAGCGTTTATAGTAGCACACACGAGCAGCTGGTTAGTAACACATCAGTCCCTAGAGGAGCGCAGGCTGGCCATGGAGCTAAGCGAGCAAGTGGGGCTCTTTAACACGAAGGCAGGGAGGGTTTCGGCCCGTGAGCCCCCTCCCCTCTGTACACAGCAGTCCCATGCGGACGTTTCTGCCGCCTCAGTCGCAGTAGATCTTGTACTTCTCGCTGCAGAAGACCACGGGGCCTCCCAGGATGCCGCTGGGCACAGAACTGCTGTGCTCTGGTCGGCCCGAGACAGAGCAGGTGAGACTCTGACTTACATGCGGGTTGTTGGTGGTGGTGGTGGTGGTGGCGGTGGTGCTGGCGGTGCCGGCGGCCTTGCTGCGTGCTTTAGCACGGCCTGCGTTGCCTCCCCGACGGGTCTGCTCGTGATCAAACTCCAGATCTTCCAGGCGCTGCGTCAGGGCGAGCTTCTGCTGGATAGCCATTCGCAGCAGAGAGTTAAGGGTTTTCTTCTCGTCCTCTGCTGCGGCCAGCTGTCTCTGCATCTCATCCAGCTGGGTAACATACTCATCACAACTGCAGGAGAAACACAGGCAGAAAAAAAATAATGTCAGATTTATTCACCGACTAAGAGGGTTTCCTGTGACATATCACAAGAGGGCATTTTTGTGATATTACTTAACATGAACCTCATGCCGCACCTGAGATTTGATTCACTGACAGAAACACTCAGACACACATTCAAACCCACACATCATAAACTTCCTGCTAGTGTAATAAATTAGCCACCAGCAGGTGGAGCCCCTGAGCCACAACATGAAGGCCTGCAAGACTGCCCAAGCTTCTGAAATATTAACCTAAGACTTCACCAGCCATTTTGGTCCTCTTCAACAAAGTCCCCCCAACGAACACATTTTCAGCTCCACTTAAAACATTCTGCAGCTAATTTGCCAGATATAGTAACAAACTCTCACCGCACTTCCCGTCATTTCATAAACTGAAAATTAAACCCATACTTTTTATTTGTATAGCTGCTGCTGCTAGAGGGTATGATTTACATTCATGAACAGGTGAGACATCTGAGAGCAGCTTGCAGCGCCTTGGGATAATATGAATGTATGCACAGTGGCAGTTGAAGACAGATTACATACATAAGGGATGCAATCATTAGCCTACAGGTCAAAGGGAAGATCATTTCTGCATCACCTGAGAAAAAGGCAGGAGGGGAGCGAAAGAGGAGAAAAATTAAGACGGGGAAGAGAAGAATGTGGTTTATTGCTCTGAGGTGTAGCTGTTCACACCTGATCTCCAATTTTCCAGTTTGAATGAGACAGCATAACTTCTATGCCTCCCTTGCATCTCCCATCTGTGTGTGAAATAGCACAAGATATGAAGTCTGTCTACTAACGCTCGTCATCACCGGGTGCTGCACTGCGGCATTATCACCTGTCTCCCGCTGTCCTTGCACACGTGTTAGTGTGTGAGTGTCTAAAACTGGACAAGTATAAAAAGTGGGACACCTGACAGGATTTCAAGGTGGGGGGTCCATATCGCCACTCCCCATCTGCTGCTGTCGTGCTCCTGTTTCCTTTATCCCCTCTCCTGGGTCTTATCATTGCCTTTCAAGCCTCATCACTTCCTTGCTACAGTCTCTCTCTATCTGCCCGAATCAGTCACTTTCTCTCTCATCTTGCTCATCCCCGTTTTCTGTGCTGCTGACAAAGCAAATCGAGTGACATTCTTCAGTAATGACTGACAAACCTATTGGGAGGGAAGGGCTGAATACGTTAGTGAGCAGCACTTAATTGCCCAACCGTACAGCACCGAAGTTCAGACACAATTTAACTGTTGGGCAGCCTCACCTAACTCACTTTCATTTATTTGAAATTAATTATTATTTATTTTTTGTTAACACCCTAGCCTGAAGCTATAGTCTGCAAACTCTTTTCTCTACGAGCCGTAACTGTCATTACCGATCTGTTCTGATTTAGTCAGTGTTTAGCAACTGAACTGCTGCTGCAGAAGCGATAAATAAATAACATAAAATAAAAAAAATTCCATAAAAACAACGCAAAGCAAGCAAATAATCTTTCAGTAGGTGAAGAATTTATCAGCTTTTTCTTTAAAAAAAACAAAAACAAGAACGTCTTGAAGGGAGCATCTGCAAACAGGAAGCGCAGATGTTGTTGCTGCGTGTGGTGCTGGGCCATGTGAACCCTGGCCTTGCCAGACCACCAAACAAATACAAACCATGGCCCCCTCCTCTTGTGTATGCAGCTTGATTCCCTCTGGGACACACACCCAGACAATAGGGATCAGTGCTACCTCATTAAACCCAGTATGAGATTTGGGAACAACCCGGGAGCAAGAAGCGAGCTGGTGCACCTTCAGAGAGTTCAGTCACTCTTGCATAGGGGTGGGGGGGCATTTTTCCCGGGGAAAAAAGAGGAGTGTATTCTAAGCAGTGGGTGGATACAATAGGAGTCTTTTTGCCCTGGTGATCGGGAGTTCTAGCACAATAGCCGAAGGGGGCTAGGAGGCGACGGCTGGCCTTTTGAGCATTAGAAATCATAATATTCACACTCTGACAAACAAGCGCATTATCTACATCTCGCTGTAATGATTTACAGTAGCTGCTGACATTTAAAGGCTGTGACTACTAAAACATTCATAACCAATAATTTCCCAATAGGACACAAACACACACATCCAAAACATGCTCAGCTGTGGTCTCGTCTAGAGCTTGATTGGTCATGGTGGTATGGATCACTCACACACACACACACACACACACACACACACACACACACACACACACACACACGAGGAGGTACTTCTTTAACAAAACAAAGAAAGTTAAAAGGGAAAACAACTAACATAGAACCAACACCAGAATAGCCAGATAACTGAAGGTGTACATTTTACAAGAAAACGTGATTTGTGTAAATGTTCGGACAGTTAATCAGCGAGAGCAGAAGGCACGAGCATGTCGAGGCTTGTCTTAGGAATGTCGGAGGCAGAAGCTTACTGTTAACATGACACCAGATACTGCAGCCAGAGAGGCACACATACAGGAGGGGACAGTGAAGCCCATATACATGCGTGATAAACATTCCTGTGTTGCTTTCGTGAAATAAACTAAATAGAATTACTCCATCCTATTTGCCATTTCTGTTAAAACAAATATTGTTTTGTTAAATTGGTTTTAAAAACAAAAATGTTAATAATAAGTCTGGTGTGTCTTTTAGTCCTATGAGTATATTATGTGCCAATTCCCTGAACAATAAGACCATAAAAAGCCCCACATATTCTTTCACTTCCACTTCATCTCTCTTCCCCTTTGTCAAAGACTATACATCATTTGAATCCACGAGTACACATCTCAGAAATCCTCCTTTGCAGACTTTGTGTGAGCAGTGATTATCTTGAAAAGTGGAAGAAAAAAAAAAAACTATCAAACTAGACTCCTGTAGTGGGTTGTAACTAAAGGCCTGGTCCTTCCTCTCTTTCTTTTCCACATGACAAGAGAACCGGGTGTTTGGCTGTGAGGAAGGATGGAGGGGGAACAGGGGATACAAAGAGGGGGGGAGTGTGGGAAACTTCATTCCGGCGAGTCCCCCTGCCTCTCAAAAGAGTCCCCTGACCTAACTCTGTGTCATATAAGACACAATTTACATACCAATACATGAGTCCCATAAACAGTGAATGTAAATCATACATAGTGGTGTGGTGCTGGAGCAGAAAGCCCAACAACATAGTCGGTGGAGCTGCTCTGGGCATACGGAGGAATAAAAACACATGGACTGAAACAGGAAGTAAACAGGAAGCTGTGATGTGCTCAAAAACATCTTAACCCTCTCCGGCAAAACAAACTCAAAGAAAAAAAACATGCAAATATGATCTTACACTTCAGCTGCTCTCCTCTGACACATGACACAACTATATAATACATCCTGCAGCAATTTAGCTCTGCAGTATATACAAAAAAGCCTGTGGCGACACGCCTATATTTGCAGCCGGATGAGTTTTAGAACTGTTACTAATTGATTGGGCACTGCAGGTATATGGAATTACTTCAGCTACTGCACTTCAGCGATATGTATTGAATTTCTGCATGGGTAAGACGAGGGGTGCTGAGCTGCCCACACACACTCCCTGCAGCAATTATACTCTTCATTGTAAAAACTCGCCTCTCCCAACCCTTCTCTTTCCCCTCTGCACAGCTTGAACTTTGCTGTGGAATGTAATACAGCTTTAAATGAAGGACAGACTGCCTCAGCATTTCTGCAGTGCTTTCTGGAATATAGCTAATATTTACAGGAAGAGCGCGCATCATTGTTTTAAATGAAATTAGCTAACAAAAAAGCACATCAAAGCACAAAAATATTGTTCACACATGCACATGTGCACACCCAAAAATAAACAAGCAAGCAGCTCATGAGTCCTTAGTGTACTACGTGTTGAGGGGTGAATGTGTAATCCATCCCAATCTGAGGTGGGATTATGCGCAGAACCTTTGACCGGCTTCTCTTTGGAATCAGAAAAGATTAACATGCGTGTTGACCCATCTGACAGACACACACACCAAGTCAGCGGTCACAAACAATGGTTATCCACATTAGGCACCTTCTGTTATTTATAGTCTGAATCTGTACAAATAGAAGGGATTTCTGGCTATGAATGAACAACACAATAGTGTACTTAAATATGTCATGTTTCAATATTAAAAATAAAGCCAACATATGGTAAACATGGATTACGTTACGACCATAATCTTATCTTCATGCTACCTGGTTATATTGTGTATGACCTTTGTGTGCTGCATGTGCGGCATTAATAAGAATGACACGTGTCTGTGTTACAGCTGTAGCAGAGCAGCACAGTATGGAATTCATGCCACGACTTGCTACTGTCACAACCTCCTCTGGAGATATCAAATAAGTAAAGAATTTACCAGGTTACAATGTTATGTCAGATAAAGACTTTTGTGCCTTTGATGGCAGGATGTAGATAAAACATATTTTCTTGACCGTCATGCAGGTGCTGGCACGATTCTTACCGTGTGGCAAACATAGCCCGGAGAGAGGAAAAGGTGGCAGCGTCCTCTTTCAAAGCTTTGAGCTCATTCCTCAGTTTCATCATGGTCTCGGTCACCATTGCCTTTTCATTCTCATACTTGCTCTTCAGGTTGGCCAGAGCCACTTCAGCTGTCTGTGAGTTGGCAGAAAGAACAAAAGGGTCAAAGCACCTGGAAGAAGTTGGGGTATGCTTCCTAATTCTTTTATTATGGCATGATTTCAGCTGCTAATGTTCATTTTAAAAAAACCTAGCTGTGCGGTTTATGAGTTATTTTCACATCTGTGTTCTAATGCCCACTGTGTAGCCACATGCATACTTCAAATGGCTACCAAACAACTGCATACACACTCCGCCTCTGGGTTATGGTTCTTTTTGCTTTGTAAAGCTGTTCTCTGAATCTAACCACACAAATACTCGAGGCAGCTGTCACCATACAGCCGCTCTCTCAACCAGTGTTTGTTATAGATCTAGACTGCAAAGAATTTGCTTCAGCAGCTGAACACACCCAAAATAATTCCCCCTACCTCTATTTCTAACTTTTGTGGACAATGACAAATGTTTGTATTGAGAGTACTTTGTTTACAGACGCTCAAACAGATCAACCTACCTGCTTGTTGGCCTTGAGGACAGTGCGCAGGGTGGCAATCTGTTCCCGCTTGGTGCTGAGCAGGGATTTCAGTTTGAGGATCTCCTCCATGCAGGCTTCCTTGTCCTTGTCGGCCACAGTGCCCAGCTCCAGAGAAGCAACCCTCTGGCGTGACAGCTCGGTGGTGCGGTCCACTGCCAGCTGCAGGTGCTTAATCTGGTCTCTGATGATGGCAACCAGATTGTAGATGTTCATGGGCTCGCGTCGGTGGTCAGACACAGGAGAAGGCAGGGAGGAGATCGGGGAAGGTGCTCCATCGCTCAGGTCGGTCTTACTGGGCTCAGGGAAGAGGCCCTTGGTGAGCAGGATGGGAGAGCGGCGGCCGCGGCCTTCCGGGCTGCTACGACCACCCTTACCCTCTTTGTAGAAGTCGAGCATAACGCGGTTGGGGGTTTCGTTGTTGCACATGCAGACATGGTTGTAGAGGGTGGCCAGTTCTTCACTGAAGGTGACCAGCTCATCCTGTGCCACACTCAGACTACCCTGAGACTCGCCTGCCACGTCGCTCAACTGAGAACACACCAAAAAAAAAACAAAACCCCCGCATTATTTCACTACAAAAAATGAAAAAGCTTTTTTAAAAATAAGGCATATATAAAAACATCAAAAATAAACATGTCTAGAGAAACACCTCACCTTGCGCAGCTCTTTCTCAAGCTTGGCTTTCTCTTCTCTCTCTGCATGGCTGGTCTTCTCCAGAGTTGTCAGGTTCTCTTTGAGTGTTGTCACATCGGTTGCCAGACGAGTGCGCTCCTCTTCGTAACGTGACTGACAGGCCTGGTATTCTGCTTTCAGGGTCTTCAGTTCCTCCTTCAGCTCTCCTGCCTCTGACACCGCAACCTAGAGAAGCAAGATCACATGCGAGTGTAAATGAAACCCAAATGCACGACATTTTTCGGACGTGACCCTATTTCGTTTTCCTGCAGGTTTCAAATTTAATTTGACATTTTGCGCTGCCTACAACGACCACGTGCCATTTACCTTGTACTTGCACTCCAGGATCTCAGGTCCGTTGATGTCAACCTCATAATAGTCTACATCTTCGTGGCTATCGCGTTCTTTCTCATTATCCAAAGCAGACTGGCGCTCCTTGCTGGCTTGGAGCTTGCGGATGGCATTGAGGTTCTCTGTGAGGCGGTTGACCTTCTCCTGATGCTCTGACAGAGCACCGTTCGCCTGCTCTAGCTGTTTCTGGGAGTCCTGCAGAGTGGACATCAGGTTGACCTTCTCACGCTCCATCTGAGTAGAAATGCAGAGACACAATTAGCAAAAGGACCTCGCCCTGTAACACATGCACTTTTGCAGTTTTTGTTAACTTGCTAATCTGATGAAGGACTCATGTCTTTAAATCATGTTATATATCTGGATTGTCTATCATGTATGTATGAGAGGAATATCGCTCGCTAGGTCTGACATCAGAATCAGGATGACCTTGACAGTCTGCTGGACTCAGTTCAGCTCAGTGCTGGCAGACAGCCTGGGTGTGTCATCTTACACAAAGACGCACACAAAGTTGTGCTTTTGCAAGCGCTGAGCTATTTCGGAATCTGCTCTGTAAATAATATTAAAGTATCATGCTCATCTGCATGCATAATTTATTATTTCACAATAGCTCGTGAAGATTCATTTCTAAAAGTGACTGCATGCTTAACCAGAGTGGCTTGCTGTGCTCAAGAGCACTCCTTTATTTACATCAGTGGTCACATTAAAAACTTTTATGAGACACCAATGCTTGAAATAGTGTTTATGGGCAGTCAGCATAGCAGTGGCCATCCTTATCCTGCAGAATCTGTCGTAAATGCTGAATTGCCAAGCACTAATAAGTTAACTTCCAATGAGTGGACGTTTGGGATTTATCTCTAAAGAAAAAAGCATAGTATGAGTTTAGACACAAGAGCAGCAGAGTTTGACTAAATGAGAAGGAATGTTTTTCGTTTCCTCTGCTCTGATTGCTGCCAGGAATCTGTGGAGTGATGTGTCAGAAGGTTTTAGTGGGCTGAATAATATGTTGTTGGGTCATATCAAACATGGGATTTTGTCACAGTCTGACAGTCTGTCTATTACAATAAACAGCACTGTGGTGGCTTCAAGTTCCCACATTAATCCAGCAACCATATTTATGTTTGATGAAGGGAGAAAAAAAAAAAAAAAGACTTAGGCATCAAATCTATCCACTATCCACAGGTTGCTAGTATTTTCTGGTAACCATGGTGCCCAATCAGTTGTGGCCTTGGACTCATGGAGTGATGATCAAGCAGATGGCAGGTCCTCCGGTGCCACCACCCGCCGCCTTGGGGTCAACACGGAGCAGGATATGTGTGCGCGTCTCCCTGGATTAACTTTGCTGTAAGGAGATTTAGATCCCTGCAGCAGACTGGGGCACGATACAACGCTCCACTGTAAGATACACCTTCCGTTCAACCAAATATACACTGAGATTTCAGGTCAGCTACACTCAGTTAAACCGAAGGAGTCCATCCCCACAGCCCTCCAATAAATTCTAGTGTAAATGTGACAATTTTTAACTTGTAACTTGTAAAAATGTAAAACCATTTTAAAGATGTTTATGAGTGTTTGGGAATTAATTGCATTTTATACAGACATATTCAACTTTTGCTATTTTGCCAACAAACATAAATAGAGTGAACAAAATAGGATTATTTGTAAAAAACAAAAACAAAACAACCCAATACAAAAAAAAAATAAATCAAACTAAATTTCAAAAGTTGAACATTATAACTTCCAGTATTGCTGAACTATCAGATTACTTTGATCTAAGTGATGCTAATAAACTGGCAACTGTGAACAGTCACAGTTCAAAGTCTAAAAAACCACTTACATGAGCCACTAAACAGGAATTGCATGTCTTTCGTTCTAGCGTTTCCTGGTAATAATTCAGTGTGTAACAGCATAAAAATGATTCACACCCAATAAGAGAAATAAGCTGAGAAAGCATTGCTATGAAAACAGACCACCGTATATTGTATCGTGAGCAGAAAACACAAGCTCTCATGCAGAAACACAAACCTGCATCAGCTGCTGTTTGAGCTTCTGGATCTCTGAGATGTTAAGTTCGCTGAGCAGGTCATCAACAAGGCTGGGAACAGGACGGAAAAGCTCTTCTTTCTTAGGCATGGGGATCCGGTTGTCGTCAGTGATGGCATTGGCCAGTTTGATGAAGCCATTCTCATATCCGTGGAGAGCCTCGTCGTTGTTAGGTTCAGTTGCAGCATCGTCGCTGAACTTGAGACCATCCAGAGAAATGCTGAGAGGACTGAAGAAACAATGTGGAAACTGTATGTTATTAAGAGCTTCTCTTGTGAAGTGTATGAGAACCTGGTTTCTGTTCCATTTACCTGTTGTACAGAGTGTCACCAATGTTCATGTAGTGGGAAAGCTCTTTCCGCAGGGACGCCTTCAGCTCACGCTCCGTCTTGATGGTCTCCAGAGCCTCACTCAGTTGACGCTCAGCGATCTCCTTTAGACGGATGGCATCCTCTAGCTGGCTGTTAAGGAACTGAGTGTCCTCCTCTAGGCGACGGATCTCATGCTTCAAACCCTCAAACTCCACCTGGGAGGACAGGAAACCACTATCACGAGTTTCAGAATCACAGAATGCATATTAGCAGCTCCAATTAAAATGAGCCACTAAGCTGTAAAATTGCTCACGATAATGTTAGGTAAGAACACATCCATCTGATTTTCCTTTTAATTTAGATTTTAAAGGGAATTTGATTTGGGAATCCTTTTCATTCCCTAAACAGCAGTAATGTCTGTATAATTCATGCCATGTCTAATGAATATATAACACTATCCAAGGGGTTAAGAAGAGGATCAAGAGCTCAGGCATAAACAGCATCATAAAGTGGAAATATCGATGCTGGAAATATCGATGCTGGAAATATAGCTGCGCTTTATGTAAAAAGAGGATTTTTTTTAGCTTTCATGGCATTTGAATAAACCCAGGAAGTGTTTTGTACCATGATAGACTCTCTGATATAGCTGCTGAGTCTTTCAAATGCTCCCACAGCAAGACATTATGGGAAAACAAGAAGAAGCTGAGGATGATTTTAATATCACACTTAAATCTGAATGTTAAAGCGCAAAGTTTTTGAGCTTGTATGTAAGAGGGCTACTAAAATCCAGCATACACTTAATGTATGTTGACAAAGTAGGTGGTATGCCTGAAGCCACCAGTGTAATTAAGGCTAATCTTTTAAAGCATCTGCAATATAATGGAAAAATATTTTTAGTTCATTTAAATATGCCAAAGAGTGAGCTTCATGATAGCAGTGAAGGCACATTTAGTTTATTTTTGCTCTCATACCCATCCCTTTTCATTTTGCTAATATAATTCCACCTGTAACACAATTTAAATGATTCAGGCTTGTGACATGAACAGCTGCAGTGTTGCTCTCTTCTCACCTGACTTTGCTTGAGCATGGAGACCTGCTTCTGCAGTGAGATGTTCTCTTCCTCCAGTTCGGTGTAATCCTGCAGCAGACGAGACTCCCTGAACTTGTACTCCTTGATGTCATCGCGCAGCTGATTCCTCTGGAGCTCCACCATCTGGCTGCTCTGTAAAGCCAGAGGAGATAGGCAGAGAGAGAAGAAGAAGAGCTGTCAATGACCACTATTTCAATCTTCTTGGGCCAAGTGTGAGAGATGCCAAGTGACTGGATATTGTTGCTTTAGTTTAACCTTTTGTGTCACGTGGGCTCTTTAACACTTTAAGAGCGCCCATCTGGTCAAACTAAATGTGTGTGTGTGTGTGTGTGTGTGTGTGTGTGTGTGTGTGTGTGTGTGTGTGTGTGTGTGTGTGTGTCTCTTTGTGTTCGAGAGGGAGGTGCCAGGTGTCTATCTGGGCAGCGGGCCACAAGTGTGCTTGTCTGCCAGTTCTGATGGCACCAAAGAGACTGAAGCCTACTTATCTCTCCTGGTGACAGCCTTTCAGTGGATAGAAAGCTCTGTAGTGGTCTAATTTTCTAAAGAGGAGCCTCATTAGGGTTGATTCCCTGTACGGAACTACAGAAGGACCATTTCCAGAACAAGAAATGGCAATGGTTATCTACATTTCATTGCAAAATTGTCTGATATACTGATATATGCTAAGTTGTGTCCCAGTAAAGCAAAATGCTGGTACAAAAGAAAAAAGAATAAACATGCAAAGAGTCATTATGTCAATAGTGTGATTGCTTAGCAATTATTGCATGATAGCATGATGTTTTCCAAATGCAGTTTGAGCCCTCTTTCTGTGTAGAAAAGGCACCATTAATTATATAAAGGGTTAGAGAGGTAAACGGCATGTCCTTCCCCCACGCCAACAAACTAAAAGCCATAAGGATCCGGTCAGCCCTGCTGAGCCACCCATGTCCTTACTAGCTTGTCTAATGCTTTTTTATTATTGCTGCTGATTCATTCCAAAGCACAAGTAACCTGGACTTAGGTGAGAAACATCACAGTTCTCAGGTGAAGTAAGTGGACACTCGCTAACAGCTGTTGGGCGCTGTGCCTTTTCAACTAAGTGAGCATGTATGCAAGTACTGGGTGGCAAAGGTTCAATCCACACACACCTGAACAGGAGAAGAATCTGCGTATATTTACATTTGTTTCTCAGAAAGACAAGAATAGCAGCCTCTACGTTTAGGATTTCCATGTGTGTTTGTGTGCTGGTATATATGTAATGCGTGTCCTTCCCTTGGCAGCGATAACCTAACACCAGAGGGACAATTAGCCTCCCAATCCCTAGCCAGGTGGCCCCTTCCTCTCATGCAGTCGCCATGTGTCCAAATCACAATCTTTGCTCTCAGATCCTTTCAGGATAAAAGGAGTCACTCCTGAGAGGTTTTCTATTTGCAGACTTTCTCATATCGGCATCATGTCAAAACTGAATTCACATCAGTGAGATTTGTAATGGAAGCAGAGTGAGGTAATAACACCTTTAAGTCTAATATGCACAGAAACCTTCAGAGAGAAATGACCTACAGGAGTCACACATCACTCATAACTCAGTACAATATCTTTATTACATAATGAAACTGTTTTAAAAGTAAACAATAATTCATCCTTCTAAAAAAAACAAAACAAAAAAAAAAACATCTCAATATTATGTCTCAGGAGACTATTTCTTGTGATTCTTTTTGGAAATAGAATTTACTTGCTTACTAAAAAAAAATAACAAAGAAGTTACTAAATCCCCAATGATGACGAGTACACACACCCTGTCCTCTGTCTCTGTAATAATTAATCACTTTTTGCAGACCTGGGCTAAAGCTGACGTTTGAAGGTGCATTAAAATTCAACAGGGTTTTGGGCATGTCTAATGAGTGTGGGTGTTTGCTGTGCAAAAGCCCTGATGTCGGTGCATTGCTAAATAATGCATGAGCTCTGTCCTACCACTAAGCTTCTGCAGAGTGGTTCTGACTTCTGAACGAGAGCTAAATTAAAGCAAAAATAAAAAGAGCTTTAGAGAAATTCAAAATAATATTAGATTAAAAGATTCGAGTGTTTCATTAAGGCTCAGACGAGCTGTGTCAGCTGGCTTTCAGGTCACTTTCTTGTCAGGGTTATGTGCCTCAGCTGGAGGGTCAGTGCTGTTTGGTCCAAATGAATACAAGCTGCCGCTGAACCTGATTAAGATCCCACTCCATTCTGATTTAAATGCATGGCAGGGTCTTAACCTTTCACCTTGCTTCTACATCCTCTGCTACACTGAGCCCCCCAAAGACTGAGAACAGGGCAACAGCCTGGCTGTGTGACAGAAAATGTAAGTAAAGGCTGCGGTGGCCACATGTGTTCCTGCTACAAAGAACAAATAACATTTAACTGGGAGAGAGAAATGAGGCTCCCTGGGGGATGTTTTTGATAATTCACAATAATGTGGGTGTGTGTGGCTGTGAGGTGCGACATTGTGAAGGCAATTTGTGGTGCCGCCAAAGTAGAGCGGTGACAAGGCGCCGCGATCACAGGCTTAAGTGTGGTTTGTAACTGTTGTCACTACAGGTGACGTCTGGACAGCTGCCTTAAACAACAGCCGCGTACGCCCCCCCCCCCCCCCCCCCCCCCCCCCCCCCCCCCCCCCCGCCCCCCCCCCCCCCCCACCCCCCCCCCCCCCCCCCCCCCACACACACACCCTCTAGCAGATCATTACATGAAGGAACCTTTTAAAGGGTCAGCAAAAACACCAGGTTGTTCAGCCACGCTGCATCATTATAGCAAAGGCACGATATATTAGATATTTAAAACAGAGATGGGGTAGTGTGTGCATGTGCACAGACTACACACAGCAGAGTTGTGAACATTCAAGGTCATACAGTCAGGAGCGAGAGAGAGAGAGACACAGAGAGACGTAGAGCATCTTCCAGCTAGACAGTCTAAACTCTCTCCATTTCAAATCTCGAGCTTTCTTGTCACCAGTAAACTGCTTTTGACAGCATAGAAAGGCTGAGCCCACTTAAATCTCCCAGAGCTCGGAGCAATTTCCAAATGTGTTTTAGCCACTCTAACCTCTATTTATATGAGAAATGGTTCCATCAGCCAGTAAGCCACAGACGCAAAGTTTCCGGATTAACACAAGTGTAGATTAGGAATGTTTTAATGCTTTGTTAAAGGCCCTGCTGTGTTCTTAATAACACCAGAGAATCCAGCTTGCATTTCTGAAAAACAAAATCCATTTTTACTAGTCTCTTACCCGGGGTTTGTTTCCCTGAAAGCGTTGCCTAGACTCCCAGATGTCACAGAGCTGTATTATTTATATTACAGCACAAGCAGGCCTGCTATGAATATATTTTTATCCTCTTTCTGCTCCTTCTCTTAACACACTCACTCCACTGACCTCAATTTCACTCTATATCCTCACTTTGCACATATTCATTTTTTTCCCCACAAACATACACAAAGTGCAGAGAAGCTCCCAGATGACCTGAAGCAAAGTGCACATCAGCTTAATAATATTTTATTTTGTACCCCCTTTCTTAGCTTCTTTTTCTGACACCACTGATCTGCATTTTGCACTAAAACTGCTGCTTTCATTTTCCAACCCTCACCTCTGCTCTTGCATCCCAGAATGCTGTAAGAGGTAGTGTGATAAACTTTAGCCCTATCATATCTTTCTATCAGATAAAACCAAGATCGGACAAGTTCAGTGATTATAAAAAGAAAATAATAAAAACTTTAAATGCCCTGCAGTCTCTAAAGTAACTCAAGGTCATGTCAGCTCATGTTTAGTCTAACTAAACTTGCAGCCAAAGCCATCTCTTAAGAAGAGACGAAGAATAAATCACAGATGAACTCAACCCCCCCCAGTATAACTTCAAACACAGCAAAGGAAAAATAAAGCCTAAGGGCATCCTACTGCTGTCGACACCAAGAATGTGGGTGAAAGTAAAACTGCTTTTATCCTCCTTCCTGCTGCAACCAATTGTCATTCTCTTCATCTTACCCAGACTCCACTAGGGAGCAAAAACACAGCCAAGGTCACACTTTTCACTCAGACTGTGAAAAGCTAAAATGTGAATGGAACCTGGTGAATGAGTGGCTGGTGGTACTTAGCACAATGCGACACTGTGGAAAAGCCCACAGGGTGTACAGTGAATTAGTGTTTTTGAGGTCATTTGGATGAGAGTGCAGAAGAGTGAACAAATGTGTTTACACCCATTAGTTTAAGTGAACGTGTAGGCCAATGGGTTTGTTGTTGATTTATTAACATCCATTAATCTACCATGAAAACCCTGCTTGGTGCTTTGAATTAAACCTTAAACGAAGAATGCATGTTCAAAGCTTTATGTCATAACTTGACAAAAAGATTCAGGCAAATTCATCTGCCATTTTTTGTCATAATCTTACTTACCAACAAAATGTGAAAGTACCCAGATGCATCAGATGCTCCCTCAGAAAGCCTGAGTCTAGAAGAGAAGCAGCTAGCTAAAGTGATAATGTTGTTTCTCTAATTAACCCACATAATATCTGGAGGGTTTGACTAGGATGTAGATCACTTGTGACAGCAGTAGTAACCATGGCTTGTGTAAAAAGATCAAGGTCAATCTGGCTTGTATCAGTCTTTGGTGTCTTCACAGCTCTTCTGCTACTGATTATTTTCTGAGAACTCATTTTTTAAACCTTTTCCTAGCATATAGCCTCCCTGTCTTGTCAGTACAGCAGGACAAGAGTCGATCTGTCTTGGCATTAATGTAAGAAGAAAAAATAGGGCAGTCAACACCAACACCGCAGAGCCCTCTTTGAGTCCTATTCCATTAACCTCATGTCAGATGATAATGGCGAACAAAGAGCATCCCCTCTTGGATCGCTATACCACTCAACTCTGACCTTACAATAATCAATGTAAAACTGCAGCACAGCTGTAACATCCTGCATCAAAGGCTCCGTTCTACTATTGCACCACTGAAAAGCATGCGTTTTATTTTCTATTTGTTTTAGCAGAGATCTTCAACCGGCTGTTCAATCTCATCTCATCAGTGCAGACACCTCCCTTTTCTTAATCCCCCACTACTCGGTCAGGTGTTTAATCCACATAGTTAAACAGCACTTAAATTAAGGGGTGGGAGGTAGGCCGATGCTTAATGTCATTTACTGTGCCAATGAAGTGGAAAAACCAGTCATGTTTAACGTTTGAATGGCTTCCACATTATGGTAACAGATAAAACAGCACAACACCCAACTTATGAGTGAGAAAGAGATGGTTCAAGCATGTGAAATATCAAAGGACAACAATAGACCTGAAGTGAAAGCACAAGCAAGTGTGTCAACACAACATCCTGACTCATGCAAAAGAAACTGTGTACTATAAGCAATCACTGAAAGCACAATTATGCTGTGCTGGAAACACTCTACAAGACAAAAGAGCGAATAGAGTGAATTACACTGGTAACATTTTCACCCTTTTTTCTTCATCTTTGCTTGATAATTTCCTGAAAGGCATGCAATGGAGGTTCCCATTCTGTGAGGCATCGTCAGAGGCACATTCCTCTCATGACACGAGATTGAATTTAATGAAGTCATGCCTATTAGAGTGCGCCTCCCCACAATGGTACTGGCTCTTTGTGTGGATATAATCCTGTAGACTGCAGTGTAGCACTGAAATGTGTCTTATCAGTGCTTTGGGCTAACATTTGAGTCTTTGGCACGGGAGAGTGCCTGGTAGGCTTAAATGTGTGGCATGTAAACGGGCTGAAAACCAGCAACTAAAATGACTATAAATGAACTGTTCTACAGAGAGGCAAAATCCATTTATAATGAGTGATGCTTCCACATTCATGGACTGTGATGCTTTTCTTATAGTTGAAATTGTGATTCTCATGCATTTTGTAATTCTTTAAGTGATCTTAATTCCACTCCAAATAAAACAGCTCTTCAGAGGAACCTTGTAGAATTGCAGGACTAAAAAAATAAAAGAAAATACATAAACTTCACTTTAAAACAAACACAAAGGCCCACAACCCAACTGTCAGCTGCATTCCATGAAAAAAAGAAAGAAAAATTGAGTCATTCAGTCACACTCCTTTCTCAATTTGATTAGCCATGCAGTCTGGGAAAAGCAGGACAGTCCTCAATTTTCCTTGGATTTAGTCCCATTAAGCGTTTCTCGTTCTCTAACGGATTTTAGGCCCCCTTGTCTTTCTCTCATACCATTCTTATCATCTCCAAGGGCTCTCCTCCTCCTCTCCCAGCCTACGCTTTGGGGCTAATTTGAAATCCAAGAGACAAAGGCCTCTTTCAGTCATGTCAGTCCACTCACAATGCCAGCCTCAGTGCCCAGGCTGCCTCTATTTGCCTGCCAGACACACTCCTAGCACCCACCAACGTACAGTTGGAAGGGCATCATTATCTCCCATACATGGTGTGATTTACACTCTAGACCCTTTTATCCAACCAATTAGAACTGTCCGGGGCCCATTGCTATGCAACATAGTGTTTATAAAGGGAATGGCACCTGCAGAAAGGCCAAGGAGACCACCAGTGCAACACCAGTTACAGCTGTACATGCGACATGCAGCAAAGGCTGTATTTGCTTTTCTCTCAAAGATTCAACTAAAGATTTAAGAGGCATGTTATCAGTAATTATGTTTAAGCTGGAAACTGATGAATGAATGGAAGCTGGTGCAAGGTTTTATAAAGGGGAACTCCTCCTCTGTTACAAAAACATTTCTAGTGGGGCACATCTGTCTTCAATAACGTTCGAATTATACCAGTGTAGATGCAGAGCTGAGCAGCAGCTGACCTAATTATAGTGGAATTTAGAGCTTTCTGGAACTTAAGTCGTTGTGCGGGACATGCCATTTTTAAGTCTTTCACTAATCTGAGGAAGAAACACTGCTGACATCTGTGTCAAGCAGATGTCTACCAAAGTCTTGGGACTCAGGAGGGGAGTCCTTCACCCTCCCAATTACCAACTTGACCTGCAAAACAGCAGACTCAGCTAAATCTGCTGTGCACAAACACAACAAGATTAGGTGCCATTAGCTATCAGAACAGACAGAAACAAAACCAGACACCCTTAATATCACACTGCAGAATATAGGCCTATTGTTGAGTGTTGAACAGCGCTGGAGTGGAGATATATGTATGGAACGGGTATAGCAACACTAATCTTTCATACATCTATCGATCCACCTCCTGAATCCTATCCCAAGGTGTCATTTGGGTGAGTGGGATAGAACCAGCGATAGAGCTAACACTGATCTTTTAACTTTCAAAATGAAAAGTATTTTTGGAACCAATGCACTCCGAATAAATTAGAGTGTGCAGAAAGTGCTCTCTGACATGTGAAGCACCCAACCTAGAGCTGTGAGTGCAAATAAATTCCCCTTTCAAATCAGCATGCAATTAGCATTAGCATTACTCCGCTTCTTTCTTTGACACGAAGCCAAACTCTTCAAACAACTTGTGACTTAAGATTCCCTCTTTAGTATTCCTGCCTTGATTTGCCCGTCAAGGGAGCGAGGAGCTCGAATGGTGAAAGCTTCCCCCTGCCTTCCTGCCAGCCTCTGTTACTGTTTTTTTACTTTTATGTCTCCCGTCTTTGTGTCAAAAGTCCTTCCCTAAAGCGCAGCATGATTTAAATATATAGTCCACTCTTGTAATTTTAACCTCCTCACCAAGTGAGTCACACAACATTGGACATACATGACCATTGGCAAATAACATGAACTACATACACTATGTGCTGTGCAATTGTCTCTTCTAATGAGGGCAAATTAGCAGTGAGTATATGTAAATTGAAACAGTAAAAGTGGGAGACATTGTCCAAATTGGGACACATACAAAGGTTTCCATAATTATATGTATGATAAAGTACAGGAATGTCCAAAGGGTGTGCTCAGTTTTGAGAAACAACTTCCTTGTGCTTCTGGTTATCAGAAAAGGGCTTGTCTAAGGTGGGGTTTTTATAACGAGTGATGTTTCTAATGAGTTAAGGCAGCAGTCCCGTGCAGTGATTCACACAAATTAAACATTAATAGAATAATTATTCAATTATTCAAAATCCTTTTGTAACACAGCATATTTCCCATGGTCTCAGTATTTTCCTGTAAAAAAACAACTCCACCCTGGACTGCATTAGGTGCAAAGGACAACACATTAGGCTTAAAGGCAAGGTGTTTCTAGTCATTAGAGAACGTTTAATCTTGTCGTGGCATGTCAAAAAGCAGACTCTGCAATTACACCCTGCATAACAGAGGATTGGACAGCAATGTCAATCAAATAAAGGTACTGTAGGTGTACATCACAAGTCTCAACAACCAACTGAAACTAATGCAAAAATGAAAAGCACAATGATTACTCTGGAGAAAAACAATACCAGGATAGGGATAAATAAGAATATCTGTTTGTTTTCTGCAGCTTTTGCAGAAAGATAAAATGCATCAGGTGATAAATGATCAACAGACACCCTCAATGTTCTAAATAGCTGTTCTAAAAAGCAGGTTAGAGCAATACTGTTTCTGCAAGTTACTGCAATACTGAAGTGACGATTAGGGACATCTGATCAAACAACAAATCAATTTCAAAATTATTTAGAAAAAAGAAACAGAACAGTGGTGGGATTTTGGTTCTCCCTTTACCTCTCTCAAATCTTGACTGATGGCATTAAGGCGTTCGTTCTCAGACTGGGTGTTGGTGAGGATGTTGCGTGTCTGCCGGAGCTCGTTCTGCAGTTCCAGGACTCTCTGCTCATAGTAGGCTTCCTTACAGGCCGACTCCTGGATCAGAGACTCTTCTCGGCTCTCTCCATCTGCCGCCACCTTCCTGTGGTTGGAGTAGGCTTGTCCAAAGGCCTGGAGATGCAGTGAAAGAGGAGAGAGTTGCTGGTTTAAACTATAGTGTCATGGGGTTGTTAAGAATATTTAGAGATTTATGTATGAAGCATCACTTGCCATTTTCATTTTCATCTATCAGGTTTGTGACTGACATAAGTTTATTTGTGATTCAACCTCTCCAGAGCGACAATGATCTCTTCTACTGTGGTTTAGCTGAGGCTCAAAAACCTCCCCAAAAATACTGCAGTTGCTCTGTAGAGATAATCAGTCAGGCTCCATCTGGGCTGCATGATCCTGTCTTCCCCCCATTTCCTCCCCCTCTCTCCTCTGTTAGCTGCAGGATATTGGCCTGCATGTACTCTGCAGTGACTCCACAGATGGAAAAACCAAACAGGAAAAGTAGAGCAAATGCACTAGTGTCTGGGTGATCACGAGATCCTGTATTCTAATGCTCTTAATACCTTAGGAGATCATAACAGAGTAAAGAAAGGTCAACAGATATTATTTGATTTTGCAGACTGCATGAAAGGGATGAACTTATGAAGATTAAACAACTATGGAGAACTTACGAGCTAAAGCCTCTACATTCTATCAGAGGCAGTCTGCTTAAAGGTTGTGAATAGCAGTTTGTGCAATATGAAACAGACTGCTTCATTAATATAAGTGCTATATTGTCCCTAATTTGCTATAACCTCCAAGGCAGAAGCCACAAACACATAGTGACACTGCGACCTTTACTGCAGCAGAATCTCGGTTAGGCTACACTTTCACTTCTCAAAATAATCACCTCATGATTACAGATTTCATTTTCAATCCTGTACCCGCTGGTGATCGGATGGGCATTCTGATTCTCATCTTGCCTCACAGCTCGAGTGCAGGCGGTAATCTGAAATCACCTGAGGCACTGAATCTGACCTTGTTTGCAGCTGCAGCGCACTCTCTCCTCTCTCTGACTGCCTATACTGCACGTGACTAGCTGCTGCAGGATTTTCTCTGTGTGACTGTGTATCGTATTAATCCTAGTAATTCCTTTAGATAGAGGCAAATCAGGAAATTTGTATTAGTCAAACTGACCTACTTCCAGGATTTAAGAGGTATATGTGACTGAAAAACTAGTTTAATGGGTTACAGTGGAGCATGACATCATTGCTTTAGCAGTTTAGCTAGCATAGCTTTTACATTTCAGGAAAGATGATGACTGAAGCACAACTTGGCAAGAAATAATTGACAGTGTTTCATTTAGAAGCATCTCTGTTACTGGCTAACAAATGTAAATATCCTAATTTTCCCTACATTTCACTACAATCCCACCGATATTGTAGGAGTCGCCGCAATTCCTGTGAACTGTGCAGGGACAGATTACGGTCGCCATAGTGTAAGCTCATTGGTCCTTCAGCAAGATGAGTTAGTAGGGAAAAAACATAACCCACACATTGACTGACTATTTGCATTTAGCCTAGAAGTGCTCTGAACAGAAAATGCACTGTGAGAACAAGAAAAATACTACTCTGACTGAACCACATATAACCAGTGTTCATAGTTGTTCGCCTTTTATTTGCAGCTCTAGATAAAAGTATCACTTAAATACGTGTCTGCATAACTCCCCCATCTGCCACCTTTCTCCAAATCAAATCATCAATCAGCACGAGGCTGTATTTTATTAGAAAGTTATTAGAAAAGACAGGATTAACCCAATCAGTAATCAGGAGAATCCCATCATTATAATCTTGATGCATAGGTTTTATTGAATAAGACTCCAATCAATCTAATCTACGAGGCCTGCCCTTCAAACACGCAGAGCCCCTAGTCAAAAACCCAGTGACCCAAGGCCTTTAATCTCCGCTCCCCAAGCGTGGGTTTAGGCTACTTTAAAGGAGGGCAAATTGGGGCTGCACGCGACCAAGCCTATTATCTCACAGTGAGCTGCCCACCCAGTTTATAATTCATCTTTAGCTTGCCATATGTTGCAGTTTTATTAACACTGGACATGCGAATGTGGATTATTAATCTCTTAAAAGCTAATCAAAGACAGGTCTTTATTAGTGAGCTGTGTGGACTGGATTTCCTCACAGATGACTACAGCTAAAGGAAGAGCTAATAATTCAAAAGATTTATCCCACCACAAAACCCAGATGACAGCATACATTATGGGCTGGTCATACCCTAGGCTGGCTTTTAGAGATCTTAGTACATCATAGTGCATGATCACTGTTGATGATAAAGCTTCATGTGATTGAGGAACTGACAAAATTAGTCCAGTCACATCTGATTTTTGGTTTTTCCCCCCTCAGATGACAGTGTTGTCTGATTACTTCCTCTTACATTTCTCTCACCCTAACAGGATCTAACAACCCAAGTCATAAGATTAATGAAAACAGATGCGTGGGCACATGAAGAAGGCAGACTACTGAAGAAGGAAGCAAGCTGCCATGTTTCTAGTCTTAGACAAAGCTTATATCAAATTACTGGTTTCTCTGAGATGTTTGCATTTATGGGTTAAACTAAAACAGTCATCTACAAACTTATCTTTCTCCAAAACAAATGTTGCTATGGCAGATTGTCCTCTGATAAAAAAGTCTTAGGTTTAACAAAGGCTGTTTAAACATGTTTGAACATGGCGAGATCACTGCCTTGTCCTCCAATCTGACCAAGGATGCAGCCTTTAGTGACAATGATTAGAAGCTGAGACAAATCAAGACTCAAAGATCAAATCACACCTCTCTGCTTTTTGATCTCTGCTCAGGATTCGCTAAACACTTGCTTCTGAACATGACAGCTACTTAGTAATCTTCAACGCCTTATGTGGTAAAGGAAGAATATAGGTTACATAGTTCATTCTGGTTTTCTCAGCCAGAATCCCGCTGCATGGGCTTCTCTAATCCAGTGAGTCAAGAGCACAAGGGAGATGGGCTTTGGGTCTCCATCAGGTAACAAACAGATCGATACAGCCGGTCTCAGAGGCCCTGTGGAGCAGAAGTACACATCTAAAATTCTATTTTCAGTTCCCTTCCCACTGGCGAAGAAAACAGTTTCTGTGGCATCAAGTAAGAACAACGTGATCTACAAAGATACAGTTACTGGAGACCCTCTGGAAAGGAGATTAAGAACAATAGGCTCCAAAGCACAGGGATGGATTTGCAAGGGCAGGAAGTCTTTTTGAAGACTTAGTAACAAAACCCAATTAGAAAACCAAGGACTGATTTGGGTTTGACACTTGTATCTCTGGTCCAGCTCAAAACATCTCATTGTTAAGGTTTCACTTTAGCCTCCTGGGGTCTTGCATTCTGGGAAAGCAAAGCCCACTGCAGGAAGAAAGGCAGACAAAATAGAGATGGGATAAAACTAAGAAGACTCAAACAGCTCATTTTATTTTCCAGCCACAATGAAACACCTTCCATTGTGCAATTGCATTTAACCGAATGAGAAATCCAACTCAACCTTTGCTCTAACTGAAGTTTCAGAAAACATTTAACAATAGTATTTTCTAGCCGTTGATGAACAATCTCAAAATCTTGCTAAATTGTGCCCAATTAGGCACAACAAAGCAGCTCCAGACAATGAGACTTCTTGTTTCTTTAGCTGTATTTTGGGGCTTTGGGGGGCCAGTGGAAAACATTAAACAATATCACACTGTGTCATCTGGATCAGTTTGGTTACTCATTCTGTGCTGGAGTTGACCCTAGATACCAAAGCAGTGTTTCAGCAACACTGAAGGCTAGTCACTGTTAGCATTGTCATTGCAAGCGAATGCAGAGGAAGAGAGGAGAGGCGGGAGAAGAAAAAAAATACACCAAATGGATTCTCTGGCCTCGTGAATCACAGCTCACGTGGAGTTGCAGTTTATAATGACAAACAGGCATGCTCCCCCCCACCCTCCTGTCCGTCTCTCCATCTCCATTCACAGGCCACTGCACAGCGAGAGACTCGAAAAAGATAGATAGCTTCAAGGTGTGTGGAGATTCTATATTTAGCTGTCGGCTCTCAGCCGTTCATGCGATGGAGCATTGTGTTAAAGTCAAGAGACCCACTGGTGAAACAAAGTGTCTCTGCAACACGTACTGTTTGCGTGACCTAGCAGGCCGATACACTACTCTACATTTCACCTATTTGTGTGGGACATAATAGCTCTGTGTTATTTCTGCAACCGCATGTACAGTAAGGTACTGAAAGCAATGCAAATCATGTCAGGCAGTAGTGCATGCTTTTGTTTTTTTGTAAGCATTCACTAAATTTACAGAGTACATTTTTGCTAATCAGTGAACATTACACCAAAACCAGTGACAGCTGCTATAATGAATGACAGAGTAGCTAATTATTTACTTCAGACTTTACTCTTCAGTGGGAGTCTGAGGGAAATGAAAAGACAAATTCACTTTCATCTTTTGACAAAAATCCACGGAGGTTATGATTAACTCTCCACTACTTTCTTGCAGTGGGAAGAGTTAATCTCCTTCCTGCTATCCTGACAGTTCTTCCCCCCCCCAAATCAGCTCTCTCTCTGTAAATTTGAACGTTGAAAAAACCAATTTTCTACAACCAAATAAGCAATAATGTAACAGGGGTCTTGAATATGTAGTTGGCATTTTCATGTTGAACAGTTATATGTATGCAAAGCATTAAAAGTGCCAAGCAGAAGGAGCAGGAGGAGGGGGAAAAAAACAGTGAGAGAAACGCAAACGAGGGAGGCAGAGATATTTGCTGTTGCCTGGCACAGAGCCACATTGATTTGCTGCATAGCACAGAGCTGTTGGGCTATTATTCACACACAGGTCTGGACAATTTCACAGCCTCAACACACATACGCACGCATCTCATTTCCAATTTTGCCAGTGCTCCTTGCAGCCAGCCATAACGCACCACCTGATACTCAAGCCATGTTGAAGCATGTTCTCCCAACTGAGATAGAGGTTGAACAGGCGAACGCTCCAGGCCTTATAGGAAATCTACCGAAAAGGCAGACGGCTCATGTTTTCAAAGGACAGAGGCAATGCACTGTATGCTAATGGGAAAGGAATATT